ACGCCGCGCCCACGCCTAGCACCGAGGGGCTGCCGCGAGCTTTTCTCCAGAGCTTGCGCACCCTCTTCGACATCCTGGACGACCGGCAGCGCGGCTATGTGCACTTGCGCGAGATCGAGTCCCGTTGGCAGGGTGCAGACGCACGCGAGCTGCCCTGCGGCGTGCTCGAGGGCCTGCGCCAGGTGGCCCCGGCCAGTGGCTACCTAACTTTCGAGCGCTTCGTGGCGGGCTTGCGCACCTCGCTGCTGAACGCCAACGGCGGCCCGAGGGATCAGGCACGTGTCGCTCCCCGGTCTGGGGACCAGCCTTCGCTGCAGCAACGCCTGATGTTCATGCCGGCCGACGAGCCGCGGACTCTCCTGGAGAGGAAGCCTCTGCAGCCGAGTGCGCGCCCCGCGCCAGCTGGCCCCAGTGGCACCTCCCGGAACCCTGAGCTACTGTGTATCCCGGCGGAGGCGGCACCCTCTCCCGAGGAGCCCGAGCGGCCCCTGAGTAAGACGCTGGAACGGAGTCCGAGCGCGGACGCGAGTGAGTTTGGGTGGCCCCCAGGCCCATCCGGGACCTGTGCCGGAAACTGGAGACCGGCAGGGTCTCCTCAGAGGGATGGCGATGGGGATCACTGTGGGCGGCAGGCTCCAGGGCCTAAAGCAAGGTTGGGACCTCCTGGTTGGAAAGAGGCTTCGACCTGTGCCTGTGTGAGCTGCGGGCAGAGAGAGGCCTGATTCCAGGGCCAAGGCAGGTCGATGACTCTGAACACCCCCGAGAAGCCCACTCTGTCTCAAGCCTTCGCTAGGCACTGGTGCACCTGCGGCGGTGAGAAAAGGCACGCTCGCTACCTGCTCTATCTGCCCTAGATGTGGGGACATTTGGGCCCTCATTCTCATTTCTGTGTGGCTGCTTGGGCACAAGTTTGTTCTTAAAAGCAAGCATCCTCTAACCTGTCCTGGGGGTCCTTCTCAGTGTGACACCCTGCAGAGACAACCCGGCCTCCTCCACCCCACAGAGGAGGTGGCACAGGAGCACCTAGCACAAGTGCTGAAGAAGTGTGTGTGTGTGTGTGTGTGTGTGTGTGTGTGTGTGTGTGTGTGTGTGTGTGTGTGGAGGGGTTGTGTGTGGAGGGGTGTATGTGTCCTGTGGCACCTGCTGTGCTGTGCTGCTGGCAGCCACCCCGCCAGACACAGACCACAGTCTCCGGGGAGTCCAGCAGGCTCCTCTCCCTCCTTCCGGTCTAGTTGGCAGGGACAGGAGACTGTTGAATAGCCCCCTGTCTGCCTTGAGAACAGGGCTTGCTTTATGGCTAAGCGTGGAGGCAGGTTCTCAGAGGAGCCCAAGGCCCTCTTCATTCCTGCAGCCCATTCATTCTGTGCACTGTCCTGCCAGGTGCAGGACTGCCCACTGGTGGCAGCTGCCAGTCCATTTTGCTACTGGCCACGGCTCTGCCAGCCTCACCAGATCTCTCCTGTCTTAGCCATGTTCTACTGTGTCTCTTGTGAATTGATATAAACGAGGAAGGGGGACTCTGTTTGTTCCAGCCTTGACTCCGTTCCTGTGGTATGGCTGTGAGTTTGAAGTCAGCCCCAGGATGGACAGACTCAGGGTTTGCCTGTGGTACAGATCTGTTCTACCTTCTGTGGCCCTGGTCAGTTACTTCTGTGGAGGTCATGGGCTCAGGGCCCATGACAGGGCAGCATTTAGCCCACTGCTCTGTAAACCTAAGGCCAGCCTCCAGCTCTAACTCCTTTATAAGTCAGCCGAGGCCCTGTAAAGATTATTATGGTATGCTTGACAACACACATATGGCCTCAAATTCATAACCCTGTGGTTTATGCCTCCTTCCTGTGCAAGTCAAGTCCAAGTGTCCCAGGGTTCATTGCTAGTACCTGTCCTGGCCCCACCTTCTGGAGACAGCAGCCTTCTTGTGTACCTCCCATGGCCTCACCCTGAAACTGCAGGCTGGGACATGAACTTTGGGGCCCTCTTGGAACTAGAGTGTCTGTCATGCGCATCAGAGTACAATTATTGTATCTGTCACTCCTATGACAGTCTCAGGAGTGATCCTGATGCCAGGTACGGGGTTGGGGGGCTGGGAGAAGGTACCCACCTCCCTACCTGCACCCCACTTTTGGTAGGTGGGGAGACCCTCCAGACAAAGATGCTCACAGGAGTCTATGGCACATGTATGCACAACTGTGATTGCTCCTGGGCAGGAATTATATCTCTACCGCCAATGGAGAATTAGTTTCCCCGCCACCAGGTGCTGTGCCACAAGGCCCCATGCAGCTGGGAAAGGCATTGAACAAGCCCAAGGGTTCTGCTTGTCCATCGCTTTTGTTGGTCTGTTTTGTTTTTCTGAAACAAGGTCTCTCTATATACTTCTGTGTGTACTGGAACTCACTATATAGACCAGGCTGGCCCTGAACTCACAGAGATCTGCCTGCTTCTGCCTCTTGAGTGCTGGGATTACCACGCCCTGGCCCTGTGCATCTCATCTTTTACCCTTCACCCTTGATACTCTTGAGAGGTATCCACTGTGTTTTTTCAGGTACTGGGGGAGGAGCGCAGGAAAGAATTGTATTCACACCCTCTCTCCAACCGCTCAGGGAGCTCATAGCCCTCCTAAAGGCAGGTGAGGGAAGCAAGGCAGGCAAAAGGAGACTGAGTCCCAGCCAGGTACAAAGTCAACAGATGAAGGTTCCCAGGACATCCCTGGTCCCTGGGGGTTGCATTATCAGTTAGTGGGAGGGTCCTGGAAGGGCTGAGGAGCTAGAATAAAATGTTGAGCCCATTAGGCAGGCCTAGAGATAAGCTATGACCCTGATTGTCTGCTACAGGTGCAGCCGTCTGCAAGACCCAGGACATAGGCACAGGTGAAACCCGGCAGGCTCCACGGGCCCGAGGTGAACGTCGAAGGCATACCATCACCAACGGTGTGGACTGTGGCCTGGTGAGAGGGGCCAGAACTCTGAGGGACTCTCTATGTTGTCCAGAAGGTTGAAAACATGAGCCTGGTTACTTGGGGGAACCCCTGGAGGAGAATTGGTCAGCTCTGAATCTTTCTCTCCTGGGCTGGAATCTACTAAAGGGAAGCAGGCCAAGTCAGGCAGAGGGAGGAGAGGTTCTTTAGGAATAGCTGGTGACAGAGTTTGGGCTTCTGCCCTGCCTACCTCATGAGGCTCACCTCTGCAGGCCAGCTTAGTGCAGAAATACCAGGGTGCTGAGTCTGGTCGGTCACTCCATTACCCTGGGGAAGCGTCAGTAGAGAGGCAGGAGAGAGTCCGGTCCCCATCACCAACATCATCTGTTCTCCAAGGCATAAGTTTGAACCTTCCCTGCATACGCTAGTGCATCCCTGGGCGCCTCTGCAGACTGTACGTGTGTCGATGTGATATGTGATATTTGTGCCTGTGTGCTGGTCTGCCTGTGCACAGGTCCAGGAGCACACAGGCATGTGCAGGTATGCATAATGCCAGTCTGCTTGCTGGTATGCGTATATTCCTATGTGCACGTGTGTTATAGTTGAAGCAGATGAAGGAGTTAGACCAGGAACAGGAGGTGCTGCTGCAGGGCTTGGAGATGATGGCTCGGGGCCGAGAATGGTACCAGCAACAGCTGCAGCGTGTGCAGGAGCGCCAGCGCCGCCTGAGCCAGAGCAGAGCTGGAGCTGTGAGTGCTGGGCCACCCCTGCCCACAGCCCTGGGCGGGCTCCCCCTAGACTGTGAGCTGAAGCTTTGGGGGAACAGAAGTGCCAGATGCAAGAATCTCCTCATGGCCTGGTGTTCCCTGCTTCTCTTCCAGGACTTTGGGACTGCAGGGAGTCCCCTCCCTCTGGGGAGGTTGCTGCCCAAAGTACAGGAGGTGGCCCGGTGCCTGGGGGAGCTGTTGACTGCAGCCTGTTCTGGCAGAGTGAGTGCTCTGAGCCTCCCTGGCACCCCTTGTCCTTGTTCTGGACTCTATGCCCAGAAGAGGCCTGACTGATTGTGCATTCCCACAGGCTCTGCCCTCGTCTTCTTTGGGGCCCCTGGGCCCCACCTCTCCCTCAACACCAGTGTGGCAGCAGCAGACCATCCTCATGCTGAAAGAACAGAACCGGCTTCTCACTCAGGTGAGGTGTGGGAAGATGGGGCTGGGGCTGGCGGCCCAGCAAGCCCTGACCACCCGCCCGCCTGCCTGCCTGCCCAGGAGGTGACTGATAAGAGCGAGCGCATCACTCAGCTGGAGCAAGAGAAGTCTGCACTCATCAAGCAGCTGTTTGAGGCCCGGGCTCTCAGCCAGCAGGATGCTGGGCCCCTGGACTCCACTTTCATCTAGCTGGTGGTAGCTTTCTAGGACATGCACACAGACTTAGCCTCAGCTCCATGGCTGCTGTGAGCCCGTCTTCTGGCTTAGCCCTCGGAGCCCTTGAGGGGGCACCTGCCTTCACTCTTGAGGTCTGGACTGTCCTGAGGCTTGCCCTAGGCTGGCCTGACACTATACGGTGGGTGCTGCTCAAAGTAGTGCTCTGTCGTGCCTGAAGCTGCTACTTCATTGTCAATGGATAGCAGAGGACCGTTCCTCATGTTTATCTGATATTAGGCAGCCCTGGACACAGAAGGGGGCATGTTTACAGTTGTCCTGTCCCCTCGTGTAGGGCTCTCTAGGATCCCTAGTATTTAGTAAAAAGTACTGGTCACACTGGCCTGTATTTCTCATAATGCCCAGCAGAGGCCGATGACTGAGCTGGGTTCTTCTGTCCTGTCGTCTCATGGTGTTTCTGAGGGAGTGAACAAGTAGATTATTTGTACTGAGGGTAGGCTGGGAGGCCTAGAGACTTAAGAGGTTAGAGGTTCCTTCTCCTCACCAAGGGCACTAAGACAAAGTGATTGTGACTCAGACTCACAGGAATGGACGGAGGATGGGGCCTCTTATAGAGGGCTCTGTGTCTGTTGGGGGAGCCACAAGGATAGAAGTTTGTAATAGGCTGAGAAGGAATCAGGCTGCAGCTGGACCAGACCAGTCTGGTTCCTAGAAATAAGCCAATAGCTGGCTTACTTACCTTACTGCATTGCCTTACCTTAACTAACTGTCCAGAGGAAGATGACATCAAGGTAGTTCAGATATGGCCCTTCCCTGGGGAGATCCCATCCCCCAAAATGGATGAGTTTGGGCTTTCCGGCTAAGTTATGAAGTGCACCGTGGGCAGAATATACCCATTCTACAGGGTGCTGGATTCCCTAGGTCTGGGATCTACTCAGATGTCCATCTTTTTGTTTTTGTTTTTCGAGACAGGGTTTCTCTGTGTAGCTCTAGCTGTCCTGGAATTTGCTCTTGTAGCCCTGCCTGGCCTTGAGCTCACAGAGATCCACCTGCCTCTGCCTCCCAAGTGCTGGGACTAAAGGCGAGCACCACCCCACCCTGCCACATTTCCATCTTTTAATTTCTTACTTGGTCTGGCATTGACTCAGCCATGGAAAAGTGAACTAGAGGGCACCCAGGAGAAGCTGAGCCTCCTTGGATATGACTGTTTGCCTGCTCACACCCTGCATTGGCAGCTCTCAGATGGGTACAGACTGGATGAGGGGAGTCTCTGTTTAGCCTGGTCTGGTGGGGCCTGGTGCTTGCTACCAAAGGTGCTAAGACATCACTGGTGAATTCTGTGGCCTGGAGCCTCCAGTATGGAGTATGAACATTGGGTAGTGAAATAACCTATGGCGTCTAATTTCCCCATTGTGCTTGGCCTGCAAAGCATTTCAGATCAAGTACAAATTAGTCCAGTAACCAAGCCTTTTACTTCAGGAATTAAGAGTGGGTTCTGGGCTAGAAGGAAAGCTAGTTCTAAAAGGCAGTTGTGTTCCATGAGCTCCAAACACACAGATGAACTTGCCTTAGATCAGTATCATCCAGGGACAGGCCTCCATGACAACAGGTTGGGTCTGCCCCACCCCCACCTTCCCCCAAATGGTGTCCTTGTTCCTTGGGTTTGGCCCTGTACCCTTCCTATTCTTCAAGTCCTAAGGACACTTGCCTATTGTACTAGGTTCTCCAGATACATATCCAGTGACATATCCAGAGCTGGGGCCTAACTGCCCACCCCATGGAGACACGGGTCTCAGCAGGGTCTCTGGGTCTTGCCAACCTCTTTCCATGACCAAGCCAATTCAGAGTCACAGCCTCACTTTCCTCTTGGCTTTGCCCAAGCTAGCTAATCCATCTACTAGAGTCCCTATTTTGTCCACTAGATCCTATCTAAACTTGCTCAGGTCACATGGCACAATAGAGAGGCAGGTGGTGGCTGGACATAGTGGCACATGCCTTTAATCCCAGCACTCAGGAGGCAGAGGCAGGCAGATTTCTAAGGTTGAGGCCAGCCTGGTCTACAGAGTGAGTTCCAGAGCAGCTATGGCAACACAGAAACCCTGTCTCAAACCCCTTCCACATATAAAACAAGACCTGGGTGGCAAGCTCGGTGGGCAGCTTTTCCCCTGAGGTGTCTGGCACACCTTGAAAGGTTGGTTGCCCTTCTCCATGTCGTCACAGGTTGGAACAACACAGGATCTGCTCTAGGGTGATATTCTTTAGGAGACCTCTCATACCAGGAGGTAAATGGAAACAAGATGACAAATTCAGCAAACATTGCCTCATAGCCATGATGTTCCAAGCAGGGTGAAAAACATGTGTTTGTAGTTTCTAGAATGTAGTTTCTTAGAAGTTTGTGTCCTGGAGCCAGACTTCCTGTGTGGGTCTAAAAACCGGAAGGGGGAGCAGTTGTTTGTTTTTTACTTTTTTCTTTTTCCTGAGAGAAGATTTTTTTCTGTAGCCCTGTCTGCCTGGAACTCACTTTGTAGACCAGGCTGACCTCTAACTCAAATCTGCCTGCCGAGTATAGGAATTAAAGGCATGACCACTACTGTCAAGGGAGAATTTTCACTGGTTCTGATAGGCTGGGGACACTGGCAGAGGCCAGCTTAGATGCTCCCTGGCGGCTCCTGCAGGTTCAACTGTCTTGTGTGAGTTTAACTGCATCCCTACTGTCTACCCTCCTGGTGCGGATAGACTCCCAGCTGTGACAACTAATTATCTAGGGACACATCTTTCACTGTTCTCAGGGGAGACTTTGTTCCCTGGTTGAGAGGAACACAGACACAACAGGTTAAAAGTGTTTAGTGTGAAGTTCCAAGATGAGCTCCTCTGCCTTAAAAAAAAAAAATTCACAGGCTGCAGAAGGTAACACACACACACACACACACACACACACACACACACACACACACACACACACACACACACAGACCTGAGAGGACTCGGTACAGAGCAGACATATCTAAAGAAGGGGGCTTTTCAACATGTGAACAAGGAAGAATAGTCCACTCTATATCTTAGAAAAGGTGTTAGCTTTCAATAGAATAAGAGGTTATGAATATGAATCAACTTCTAGAAATGAAAAATAAATGCATTTGAAACAGAAGTCTCACCAGGCAATGGTGGCTCCTGACTTGAATCCTGGCACATAGAAGGCCGAGGTAGGGCTAGCCTGGTCTACAGAGCTAGTTCCAGGGCAGCCAAGGCTATATGCAGGAACTTTGTCTTGAAAGATCAAAAGGTCTTAATAAATGAGCTAAATAGCCAAATGGGGCAGGCATCACTAGAGGACACTGGAGGAGGGGAGTGATTGAAAACCAAGTATAATAACATATATGTATATGGAAATGCCATTAAGAAATCCATTATTGGGGCTGGGGAGATGACTCAGTTGTTTTGAGCACTGGCTGCTCTTCCAGAGGACAAGGTTTCAGCTCCCAGCACCCACATATTGACTTGGACATGCACACAGGTATAATACTAATACACATAAAATGGCCAGATATGGTAGCTCACAACTTTAATACCTGCACTTGGGCAGAGGCAAGTGGCTCTCTTGAGTTTGAGGTTAGTCAGGGCTATAAAATGAGACACTGTCTCAAAAACAAAACAAAATCTTAAGATGGGCGTTGGTGGTGCACACTTTTAATCCCAGCACTCGGCAGGCAGATCACAGAGTTTGAGGCCAGCCTGGCCTACAAAGTGAGTTCCAGGACAGCCAGAACTACATAGAGAAACCCTGTCTCAAAAAAAACAAAAAAAAATTTATATGGCAACCTAAAAAAAATTTTTGTTTCATCTTCAGAGAGCTCTCAGTTCCATGTTGTAGAACTAGAGTCATTTCTTTATTAGCCATCTTTTCTGGTGTTTCTTAACCGTCCTGCCACGACCACGAGGGAACCATCTCTTTTTTCTCTCTGCTCTGGTGGCAACCTAAAATTTAAAAAATTCAAAGGCTAGAGCTGGAGAGATGTCTCAATGGTTAAGAACACTTAACTGGTCTTCCAGAGGTCCTGAGTTCAATTCCTAGTAACCACATGGTGGCTCACAACCATCTGTAATGAGATCTGGTGCCCTCTTCTGGCCTGCAAGGATGCATGCAGACAGAACACTCTAACAAATCTTTAAAAATTTAAAAAAATCAAAGGCCAAAACAATATAGTTACTCATCTCAAAGTCCACGCCCAGAGATGATATCTCTACAGAACACAGGCAGACCAAAACATTTTCAAACAAAATTGAAAGTTTACCAGCAAAAAGCTATCACTAATGACAGCCACGGGTGTATCAGGAGGAAAGTAAAATTTAGGATTTACAGGATTGCATAGCAAGTGAACCCCGAACCCCAGAGGACAGTTTCAAGAAAAACTTTTTAAATTTAAAAAAAAAAAATTTCAAGACAGTGTTTCTCTGAACAGCTCTGGTTGTCCTGGAACTCACTTTATAGACCAGGCTAGCCTCAAACTCAAGAGAGATCCACTTGCCTCCTAAGTGCTGGGATTAAAGGCATACACCACCACACCTAGCTAAGAAAAAACTTTAAGTTATTTGTGTGCTGAGGGCCAGGTAGCTCTGATTTGAGATTGCACAATATTTAAACCAAGGTAACTGCTGACCACTATAACAGACTGTAAATGAGAATGGAGTCCCAAAATCTAATCCTTTTCACCAATGAGGTAGGTAGGGGATTGGGCTCCTACCAGGCATCTCATAATCTGTGGACATGTTTGAAAACATGTATGCGGGGCTGGAGAGATGGCTTAGCGCTTAAGAGCACTGACTGTTCTTCCAGAGGTCCTGAGTTCAATTCCCAGCAACCACATGGTGGCTCACAACCACTTTCCATGAGATCTGGTGCCCTATTCAGGCATGCAGGCACAAGACTGTATACAAAATAAATAAATAAATAAATGAATGAATGAATGAATAAATGAGGCCGGGCAGTGGTGGCGCATGCCTTTAATCCCAGCACTCGGGAAGCAGAGGCAGGCGGATCTCTGTGAGTTCAAGACCAGCCTGGTCTACAACAGCTAGTTCCGGGACAGCCTCCAAAGCCACAGAGAAACCCTGTCTCGAAAAACCAATAAATAAATAAATAAAACCTGTATGCGGGGCTGGGGAGATGGCTGAGTTGGTAAAGTGCTTCAAGACCTGAGTTCATCCCTAGCACCCACATAAAAGGCTGGGCATAGTAGTGCCTGCTTGTAATCCCAGTGCTGGGGAGATAGAAACAGGGGCATCCTTGGGACTCCCTGGCCAGCCAGCCTAGCCTAATTAGTAAGTTCTAGGTCAGTTAGAGACATGTAAAGTTAATCTCCAACCTCCACAGGCACACACACACACACACACACACACA